CCCCCCCCTGCCCTGTGGTACGGAGGTTTGATGGTCGGTCCACTTGGTTGCACGCGTTCGAGTTGATGAACAACCTGGCCTTGAGCGACAGAGTTCCGGGGGGTGATAATGATCTCGTTGTTCGCCGCCGCCGCTCGCTGAGGGGCGTTAGCGAGGCAGACAGCCGTCCGCCTTGATGCTGCGAGAATCGCGCGCCGTAGTGCATGCTTGGGCGCCAAAGAGGGAGAAGTCGGGATTTACGCCCATTCTGCTTTGTGTCTTATTGTTTGTCTTCGTTCGCTGCTGCTGCTGCTGCTGCTGCTGCTGCTGCTGCTGGGAACTACCTAACTGACTTGCCTGCTCTCGCGCCGCCCGTGCCCTTCGGGTGCGCGGCCGGCCGGGGGCGGTTGCGTTTTTCCCTACTCGGTGCCCCTTGCCCCAACTCACACACGAAACCAAAACACGCAGCAGGACAAGGTCGCGAGCGAGGCTCCCGCTGCCGGGGCTAAGGCCGGGAGCTCGGAGGGCGGCCCCTCTTCTCCCGCTGCGCCCGATGTCTCGTCATCGAAGAAGTCGACCCCCGCAGCCACTGCTGCTGTCCCCCCCTCGACATCAGCATCTCAGCAGGAGGGCGCAACAAGCGCGGGGACTACTGCTGCTGCGACGGCCGCGGTGGTTGCTCGTGACGATGTCGATCCGGCCCTGATGGACGCCTTGGGCAATGCTCGTGGTGAGAGCTTGGTCTTAGCAGCAGTTAATATGAAGGAGAGATCGCATATGACTTTTTGGTGGCGACCCCCACAGGTCATATTTTTTCATACGTGTGTGTCGTGTTTTTTGGGAGAGCAGCACCACATGCAAGCTGTACTGGGCTGCTGGAATTTCCGCTCCCGTGACAACAGGAGTGGGGTATGCACGCGGGCGAAGATGTCTGGGTGCGAGCTAACGGTATCGATAGTGATGCCTTCGCGTTTGTTGCCCGCTACTGCTTCTGCGTACAAAAGCTATGCCCTGTCGAGATTTGGCCGGCGTGTCTAGGCACAACAATGGACATCGTATGTACAGCAGTGCAGTTCCAAATTCCAAACACCCCACCAGTGTGCAGATTTTCTTGCGGAAGGACAGAACGGACGGCGGGAGAAAACATCAACCCGATGTATGGCTGACGACCGAAGCTCATGATCTGAACCAGAGGGAGAGAGAGAGCAGCACAGCTCGAGAGTTGTTTTACATTCCTGTGTTTACAGCAGCGCAGCAAATCCTGCTGGCTCGTCGCGTGGGAAGCCACCGTGCGCATCTTCGTTGGCACTGCTGTTGTAGACTATGCGATACATTCTGAAAGAAGCTGTCCACGTCGCACCGTCGTTCGATCTATACCTGCTGTGTGTCCGAGACCATTTAAAGGGGGGTGATTATAGTCATCTCATGTCACCTACTGGTGCATGGTGCAGTCTGTCTTAATTCCTATATCGATCGAGTTTTTTTGTATTAAAACCCGTCGCTTTTACTCTAGTCTAGTTTCTCAACTTCCCCGCGCCCGTTAGCTTTCTAGAAAGTAAACATAACCTCACAGAAAGACTGCCCGTTCGAGATATAAGCTCAGTCAAAAGGGATGTGGTGAAGTGTTTTCAGTGAGTGGATTGAAACCAACTGGAGGCTTGGCTTTTTTGAGTTTGTGTAAGCCCCAACACTGAGTTATCAGTAATGCCAGTTGGAGCTAAGAACAAAAGCATTAGCTTTTGCCCATCAAAATACCTACAAGTTGATTCCCGCCCTGGGGCCGAAGACAACACTCTGCTGCGGGACAGTTATCTTATTATCTCTACAGCAGTAATGCAAGGAGGGTTCAGCCATCCTCCCCTCCCAAGTGTGATCACATGTCGCTTGCAAGCACTCGTGTTACAGAGTGCGCTAAGCTACTTGTAAATACCGGTATACGCAGATATAACAGAGTCACAGAGGCTGTGTACCGGTTGGAGGACTACATAATTATACAATCAAAGGGTTGTTTGTGCGAGGAAAGTTCGAGTTTAGTTGGGCGTCCACAAGAACGGTAGTCACACGGGCGCTGGACGCGGTGACCATCACCCGTCAAAGGAAGGGGCTTGCAAGCTCTCTTCGTGCTGGGGTAAGGGGTACATCCCGGCTTGAACAACCTGCCAACGTTTTGCGCGGAATGACAACGGTGTGCGTGGCGTATTGGTGTGTGGATAAAACGACGGCGGATGGATAGTAGTGGTGGTCCAGGCATGGGCTGCGCTGAAGCTCAAAGGTCGGGCGATTCATGTCCAAATTGACGCATACACGAACTTCCTGCGGGCGCAGAGAGCCCACCAGCTTCCGGCATTTGCAACCCTAGCTTGCTTGTGCCACTAGAACCCCTTTTGTTGCGGTTTTCTCCGCCCCTAGACCTCGCCTCGCGGCGAGACCTGCATCTACCGATAGCCCTGAGTTGCGACGGCCCTGCCGCTGTGCTGCGTGATCTCACGGCGGACGTCGCGCCTCCGAGCATGACTCGACCAATCACAGCTCGGTTTCTTGACAGTCCAGGCCATGCGTATAGACGCCTGACTTGGTCCCTTTGTGTGCGCTGACTGCATGTACACACCTCGCCACACGCGACAACCAACCAAGTCTCCGCATGCCACGAGAGAAATCACCCTACTGCTGCCGCGCGTCTCTCTTTCGATCCCGACGAAAAGCCGGAGGGGGGGGGTTGCGGCCGTTGTCGTGCGCACAGCAGTCTCCACCTCAAGTTGTGCTTGTCGCGACTTGGTCGAAAAGTGGAGGTCTCCATGTTGGAACCCCATTTCTCGGAATTTTCCTTGGGCAGGTGCAGCCCGTGCACCGCAACCCAGCTTTCCACCCCACAGCAACCTAGCACTACATTCCTGCTGTCACGGTGCACAGCAACCGAACCGTTACCCCCCCCACTTGCGCCACGGCTTCGGCTCACACGTGAAGCAACCTAGCGTTTTACCTGTCCCGCCTCAGGCTTACCTGCACCAACCTACTGCTTTTTACCGCCGCGGTTGCCGCGGCATTGGCTTTAACTACGTACAACAGTGACCTAAATGCTTCCCAATGTGTATCTTTGGGTGGTGTTGGTCGGGTTGGGTTAGGGATAGGGCTCGTTGCATCCATCGGGGTTAATCTCCTCCTCCGCCGTCCCATCGGGATATAATCTGAGTGTTATTTCTTGCCACATCTATCTGAATTTTCACGCTCAGAGCTCTCTTTCCTCCGGCCGTCGTTTCATACATAGACTTCTGTCTCTTTCATCTCATCTCTATACTCGACCCGCACACGCTTGACATCGCCATACAGCCTAGGCGTAGCGACTACCGCGAAGCGGTACGTCGCGAAGCGCCCTTGTGTTTCAAGACCATTTTCATGCGCGCGTCAGCCCACGTGACGGGAGCCGTACGCCACAGCAGCTTGGTGTGGCATGGGGAAACGTTGCTGCGCACCCACGTGGAGCTCCATGATAACCCAAACTCTTACTCAACTCGTCCCATGAAACGTTCTGTGTATAATAACCCGACCTCCGACACACTCGTTCCATGAAACGTTCGGTATAGAATGACCCAAACTCCGACACAACTCGTTCCACCAAACGTTTGGTGTGGAATAATGAACCCAAACATCTTGACACAACTTGTTCCATCAAAAGTTCGGTATGGAATAACTCAAACTCGACACAACTCGTTCCATGAAACGCTCGGTACGGAATACGTTCACGCTAAGCGCCATGCCGGGCACCATCATGCAGTCTGCAAACCAAACCAAACCGCCTGCGGTACATCCCAGTCTTGAGCGCAGTACTTCAATGTAAACTTTAGGGGCGCCGCAGATTTGTCTCGTCTAGCTTCTCTCACACCCCCCAGTAATTTTTCCGTGAGTAGGCCCTTCCTCCACCATAACCTCCTCGAGGGTGCGTTTCTTTCGTACGAATGGGGTAGACTATACCTCCGCTACGTCGCTCGCTTCCCGCATCGCTCTGCTCGCTCCCCTCCCCCCCCCCCTCTCGGATTCCGCCGCCTCTCATGCATTTATACCTCTCTCGCGAAGATTACGTGAAACCAGTAAACAGCGGCGTTATCATTCCTACAAATGGGGTATGTAGACGAAACGTCTGCTACATCGCTTGCTTCCCGCACCCCTCAGTTCGCTCCCACCCACCCCCACCCCTACCCTTCGGATTTCCCCGCCTCCTGTGCGTACCGTGCGCGCAAAGATTACGTGCTCAAGTTGGAGGGCGAGCTGGTGGCGTTCGTCACCACCAAGGAGGATCCCAAGCCTCCGCACCTTGTTCTACCCCCTCGGTCTTCCTACCAGCGCCTCATCGCCTACCGGCTGGCGGCAAGATTCAAGCTGCAGAAGGCCAACGCTGCGCAGGAGAGGGAAGCTATCGTGGCGGCGGGGATGGACCCGGCAACCACGATCGGAGGTGAGAAGAAAGAGAAGAAGCGGAGGTCGGTTGATGCTCTTGTTTTTGCGTGCGTGGTGATGTACCTACCATGTTATTTGTGTTCCGCCATTGACATGTACCAAGGCGTTTGTGTTCCGAGGTGAGTTCTTTTCGTAGATGCGTGCGCGGTGATGGTACATATTCCATGTCTTTTGTGTTCTGTTCGTCTTTTTTTAGTTGATGCGTGCGTGGTGATGGTACGAGCACTGGTTCCCTCGTCGTTTTTGTATTTGCCTCGCTTACCCCCCTCCTCCTTTACACCCGGCTGCACCATTACTCCTGTAGGCGCGCCCCCCTCGGCGCTTTAGGTTGGTGCCTTTCTTTACGTCGCGATGCCTTGCTCGCCCGGCGACGTGCAGCGTTTGTCGCTACAGGCGCGAGCGTTGTCCGCGGCACCGCACGCGCTTGGGCGCTCCACATTGTTAGCACCGGCGGTTGTCGTGTGATTTCCCGCCACACGCTTTCTGACAGCCCCCTCCCCCCCCCCCCCCCC